TGAAACAGGGCTTAAAAATCCTAACCTCCAAGGAGAAACTTGGTTTCACTCTCTCTAGTACAGTAAAGTTTGTTCTCTTTACAGTCCAGGGAATGTTCAAGACCATTTTTCAGCACAACTCAAAGGCATCAATTCTTCTTCTTAGTCATCACCCTTAGTCATTGTCCAGCTCTCCAATGCATACCAAGTAATCGCAAAGCCATGGCCGGTATCAGGCGCATCTAAGTCTCTAGACTGACATCGCTGCTTCTCAATACTCTGGGGAGATCCCTGACCACTGAATTTCCAAGTGCAATTCATCTTTTGATTTCCTGATTGCTGGTGCCAAGTATTGACTGTGGAGCTGAGCAAGCTCAAATTGTTAACAACCTGTCTCTTCTCCATCTATCATGATGCTGCCAATCGGCCCAGTGGTGAGAATCTTTATCTTCTTGATGTTGAGCTTCAACCAGTATACTGAAGCTCAATATATTTAAGGTATAGCCAGTAAGATTTCCAGACAGATGTGAAGTGTGAGAGAAATGAAGGCATCAACAAACAAATCAAGATTCTTAACCTCAGCAATCAACACAGGAGAGGCTTAAGACTTAAGCCCACCTTAAGACTGGGTGGGGGGAATCTCTCCAATTTTGAACATGTTGAGTTTGTCTAAATGTCTATTCAAATATGGATGGCATCTCTGATCCTCTTGGCCTTGTTTAACTGTTATATCCTTGGTACACTCAATATTAGAAGTTAAGTCATTCTGTCCCCATTGCTGACAGCTAACCTCAGGCAGCGACAAATCTACAGGGCTAATGTTTGGGCCTCCAGTTTTGGTCACAAATCTCAGAAGAGCTGTCTGGCACCCACACAAAATAGAAATGGGAAGGGGTTCTCTGTAATAAAAGAGTTAACATTTTAGTCTAAACTACCTTCATCTCTGGGAGTTTAGTGATAAGGAGCTGTGCTATCATCCCAAAGGTGCACAGCTTGAATCCACCAGCTGTTGTTCCTTGGGAGGAAGATGGGCAATCTTCTCTAGTGTGATTTACTGCCTCTGAAAACCTGCTGGAGGGTCAGCCATGAGTCAGTTCCCAGCAACAAACCTTTATCTCTTGCTTGAAGACTTGCTTTTGCCTCAGGCTTTGTTTTCTGTGGGGAATCCAGGCTAACACAACATACAAATGGAAACATGAATAGGTAGTTGTTCATGATTCTGGCATTTAGGAGAGTAGTTGGGGGTGAGGGGAGGCAAATACCATTTTGAAGTTGTCAGCATTTGCTTACAATCATGAGGCAGGATGAGAACACAGATAAACGAAGGATGAGAGGCTGAAGATTCCAGCATCTCTGAAAGCAGAGAATATCTGTTTAGTTCACTGCTGTATCCTGTTTCTAGCACAGAGCACAGTGTACAGCTCATTAACAATTTCTGGAATGAAAATAATAGGTCACCATGGCCTTGGGGTTAGAAGGGAAAGCAAATCAAGAGATAGGAAGTGATGAACTGGAAGGTTAGGGAATGTTCATGGAACTTGAGGTCATAGTAAGGACAGAATTAGATTCCCCAATGGAAGAGAAAAGAACAGGGAAAGGAAGGTGAAGTTAGTGAAAAGCTCTCAAATACCACTTCCCTTGAGAAGTATTTTACAGTCATCTCATGGAATCTTGTTCTCTGGATTTCTTTGAAAAACACGTCTATTTCTCCATCTTATGCTATGTCAAAGGCTCATTAACAACCTGTGTTAATGAGATACAGATGACCTTGTTTTTGGAAATTGAGGAGGACTTGATATGTTTGCTGCAGATCAAAGACTACAGCTTTCAACATGGATTATGTTTCAACATCAAGAAAAACAAAAATTTTCGCCACCAGAGATAGGCAACATTTGATTAATGGAGAATATACATTGTCAGTGATCTCATCTTGCTTGGATCCATAATCAACACCCTTGGTGCCAGCAGTCAAGAAATCAAAAGGCGTACTGCATTGGGAAAGTCTGTAAAAGATCTCTCCAAAGACTAAGGCACAATCATGTCAGCTTGAGGCCTAAGGTGTGTCTGATTCAAGCCATGGTCTTTTCAATCATTCTCTTTTCAATCATTCGTTATACATCTGAGAGGTGGACAATGAACAAATAAGGATGACAGAAGAATTGACGCCTTTGAATTTTGGTGTTGGAGAATGTCCCATGGACTGCCAAAAGTGCAAACAGGTATGTCTTGGAGAAGGTGAAGCCAGAGTGCTCTTAAGAGGCAAAGATGGCAAAGCTTTCTCTCACGTACTTTGGGCATGATGTTTTTGTGTACTAAGGAATCAGCACTGACCCATACTTTACCTTTTGGTATGTTTTCAGAGGCAGGTAATTGCATAGGAGAATGTCCATCCTTCTCCTCTGGAGCAGCGGTGACCTTGAACTGTGTGCCTTTGGGATTGCAGCACTGCTTCAAGCCACTAACTAGGCCACCAGAGCTCCCTAAGGCATGTTGTTAGGAGGAGTTATTCTTGGAAAGGGATACCATGATAGGAAAAGTGAAAGATCAGCAAAAGAGCAGGCCCTCAGTGTAATTTATTGACACAGTGACTGCAACAATGAGTGAGATCAAGTATGTCATAGGGGATGAGGATGGCACAGGAGAGACCAAGGTTCAGATCTGTTGTTCAGACGGTTGCAGTGACTCATACTTTACACAACGTAACAACAATCTCTAAAGAGTTCTCTAAGGAGTTAACAAGCTCTACTTTAAGGAGTTCTGGTGAGTTACGGTGGTCCATAGGGAGCTAGCTACACTGTGAATTCAAAGGTGGTGCTTCTCTCATGCTTTGAATCCACCAACTGCTCTTGAGGAGAAAGACTGCCTCTGAAAACCCACTGGAGGGTTAAGTTATGAGTCAGTTTTGACTCAACAGCAAAGAGAGATAAGAGCATTCTTCCTTTGCAGGCCTTCAAGCAAGCCATGAAGATAGTATAGACTAGGGTGGGGATGAAAATGTGGCAATGAGAATAGAGGCCATAGACACAAGAGGTATTTAGGAGACAATCTAAGGTGTGACAAAAGTCCCCCAGGTTGTTACTTGAACTGTGTAAACAGTGCTCACGAGGAGCAAAGTTTTGGGAAGATGGCATACTGGTTGTGTAGGATGTATCCCTGTTACCTAAATGAAAGTGTAACATAGCCATTGGAAATATTAACGCAGAGAACAAAACGTCCAATCTGGGTCTGTGTCTCTAAGAGGGTTTGATGTCCATGAGAGAGGGTGATACAATCTAGAAAAACGGACATGGTGGGACTCCAGAAGAAGGGCAGCATTCTTAGCTCACTAACAACCCAAACACAAGATTCCCATGAATCAATTCCATTTCACAAAGACCCTTGGGGCAAAGCAGAACTGCCTATAGGGTTTCAAAGGCTGTAAATATTTATGGAAGCAACTACTGCCTCATCATTCTTCAGCAAAGCAGCTACTGCCTGGCTGAGAACTAATGACCATTTGTTAGCAGCGTGCCACCAGGGATTCCAATACTTAAGGAATAGATAAGAGACACTAGTTGTTAAAGAGCTAGCAGAGAAGGGGAAAATTCTGGCCTGAGAGCAGAGAGGTGGGCTATCAGTAGTGTCAAACGCTGGGATGCAGTCTGAGGATGGACAATGGTCACCTGAAGCATGTCCAGTGTGATTCAGAGGTGCTTCTAGCGAATGATCAGGTCACAGAGTATCAACAGAGGAGCACATACGTGGAGTTGTAGCACACGCATGGAGTAGGACACACGTGGAGTTGTGGCTGGAGAGAACTATGGGGAGAAATCTTGTTAATGAAAGGAGACTTAACTATTAAGAGACAGTGCAGATAGAAACATTGAAAACAGAGAGCTACTCTTCAGTCTCAAATCCTTGAAAAAGTAGAAGTGGGGCGGCCTCAAGGAAAGGTAATTTCTTAAGTGCCCAGATTTGAAACCTGTTGTCATCTTCCAAAAGGTGTATTTGCTTTAATGGACAGCAAGCAAACAGATCCGAAATGCTGAGTTTAAAAAAAAAAAGGAGGGGAAAAAAGGAGTTAGGAAGTAGTATGGCGTTAGGGCGACCTCTGCAAGAGCAATAATACTGTCCTGACAACGGAAGTCACACAGTGGGGTTTAGCGCGGAGGTGGGTGGTGAACGGGGTGATGGGTGCAAACCACTGCTGCAGGAAACAGGCTGTGAAAAGCAAGCGACACAGGATGTTGCCTAAGACAGGCGGGCAGTGGGGTATCTCGGCAGGCCGATGATGTGCCTCCGGGTGCCAGCCGCCCTCGCTGCGGGACCATCGCGACCTGGTGTGGTCGGGCTGGTCCCCCGGGAAGACGGCCCGCTAGCGCTCGTCGGGCCGCCCCGCTGATTCCCGGGCCGCCGCAGCGCAGGCCGAGAAGCCTCTCCGCATGGCGGCCGCACGGCGCCCGGGCCCGCGCAGCGCTCGCGCGTCCCACCGCCCCGCCAGGCCGCAGGCCCCGGGGGCTTTTGCAGAAGCGCCCTCGCTCGCCTCTTCCCGTCTCGGCTCGCGCACCCCTTCTCTCGATCCGAGTCCCAGACCCCGCGGCGCGTCTCCCCCGTCCGCAGCGCGTGCGGTCGTGCCAGGGGCCGCGGCGCCCGGGGCTGCACGCGAGCTCGGTGCATCGCCGAGCGCTCGGTTTACGCCGCAGGCGCAGGCCTGCGCGGGGGCTTTCCGACAAGCCTTGCTCGGAATTCCCCCACCAAGTCACACACAAACCCCGTTCTTTCTTCAGATTTCCGCTGTCGGGTTTAATCCACGGAAATCTCACGGCGCGGCTTTCTCGAGGGTCTCGGCCCAGCCGCTACCTCTCTGCCTCTCGGCTCTGGATGGGCTCCTCGCCTCCCAACCCGAAGAAGCCCGAAGGTCTTCGGCAAGATTCGAGCGCGGCGCAGGGGGCGGGGCCACTCGGGCTCCTCCGGGCCGAGCTCGGCTGTTTCCGTGCGCGGCCGCTGCGCACTCGGCACTGGGCGGCGCTGGCTGGCTCCCTGGCTGCGGCTCCTCAGTCAGCGGCGGCTGCTGCTGCCTGTGGCCCGGGCGGCTGGGAGAAGCGGAGTGTTGGTGAGTGACGCGGCGGAGGTGTAGTTTGACGCGGTGTGTTACGTGGGGGAGAGAATAAAACTCCAGCGAGATCCGGGCCGCGAACGAAAGCAGTGACGGAGGAGCTTGTACCACCGGTAAGAGGAGCAGGAGGAGGAGGCAGGAACCAGAGAGAGCCGGGGGGACAGAGGGGGGACGGGGAGGCGCCGGACACCCGCGCTCGGGGCCTTCCCCTCGCAGGAGGGGCCGCGGTAAAGATGGAGCCTCCGCCCGAGCCCCACAACATCGCCGCCGCTCGCAGCGAACAAAGAATAATGGCGGACTGGAGCCAGCGGCGGCCGGGGCGG